GTGGATGACGTACTAGCGGGGGCACATACAATCCGCAGCGCGGTGGCGACCATTAATGAGCTGCGGGAAGCTCTGGGCACCGCTGGCTTTCCTTTAAGAAAGTGGACGTCCAACAATCGGGAGTTGCTACGAGATGTGCCTCGTGAGCACATGCTGTGCGTTGATTTTCTGGATCTCGAAGATGCCAGCACAGCAAAAACCTTAGGAGTCCGTTGGAAAGCCACAACAGATGAATTCTTCTTTGTAGTTCCCAAGGTTGAACTACAATCCTCCTATACAAAGCGCGAGGTCCTTTCTCATGTCGCTAAGCTATTCGATCCAGCGGGCTGGCTGGCTCCCTTTATCCTGCGCTCGAAGATGTTCATGCAAGAGCTTTGGCTGAGCGAGATCGGGTGGGATGACCCGTTGCCTCCTCAGTTGCATCGTCAATGGAACGAGCTCCTGCAGGAGTACCCCCAAATTAACCACATCCGCGTACCGAGATGGCTTAATTATGAACCCCAAGTATCCTTCCAGTTCCATGGTTTCTGTGACGCCTCCCAACGCGCGTATGGAGCCGCGCTTTACGTCCGGGTTCAATTCGGCAACGATGTGCGAGTGCATCTCCTCACAGCCAAGACGAGAGTGGCTCCGGTTAAGACCGTGTCCTTGCCACGGCTGGAACTGTGCGGTGCTGTCCTTTTGGCTGATATGGCTGCTGCCGTCCTGCCGAATCTCCCCCTTAGCAGCTACGACACTTTCTTTTGGACGGATTCGACGATTGTGCTGGCCTGGCTCAGCAAGCCAGCTTGCACTTGGACGACCTTCGTCGCCAATCGAATTGCAAGGATTGCTTCCGCCGCAGAGAAGTGGTCACACGTGCGATCCGAGCACAATCCGGCGGATTTGGCAAGCCGCGGTACGTCTCCGCAGGACTTGTGGTCAAATACCTTATGGTGGCATGGCCCTGATTGGCTCAAGTACCCTCATGCAGAATGGCCCCGTTTGGGTCTCCCGATGCTTGACACCGACATGGAGAAGCGCACCATTAGAAGCCATTTTGCGCAAGTGCCACCAGCTGCAGACTTCCTCGAACGTTTTTCTGACTTCGGCAGAGCTCTTCGGGTCACAGCGTACGTTCTTCGTTTGAGCCCACGATGCCGGAAGGCACGTCCCCAACGGCCCAGCGAGCTTAGCAGCACTGAGCTGGTCGAAGCTCAACGGGCCCTCATCATATGCACTCAGCGAAGGGAGTATCCGAAAGAGTTCCAATCCTTGGAGAAAAGGCAACCGGTGTCCTCGTCAAGCTCAGTCCATAATTTGAATCCCTTCTTGGATGAACACGGGATCATGAGATCGTGTGGTCGATTGGTGGCCTCTCGGACATTGAGCTATGATGAACGCCACCCTATTGTGCTCCCCTACAGTTGTTGCTTTTCTCGTCTCCTGGTCTTGTTCACTCATCGGCTTTCTCTACATGGAGGAAACCAACTCACAATTAACCTCGTCCGATCTAGGTATTGGATCCCGAGGCTGCGGGTCCTGGTCAAGTCTATTATCAACTCGTGCAAGGTGTGCCTTATCCACAAAAAGAAGCTCCAGACACAGTTGATGGGAGAGCTACCAGTACCACGGAGCACTTTCTCTCCGCCATTCACCCACACTGGTATTGATTATGCCGGCCCCTTCGAAATTAAAAACTACACTGGCCGTGCCTGCCTCATAACGAAGGGATACGTCTGCGTATTCGTTTGCTTCAGCACAAAAGCAATCCATTTAGAGGCGACTTCCGATTTGACGACCGAAAGGTTCCTGGCAGCCTTTGCACGTTTCGCGGCTCGACGGCGATGTCCAACGCAAATCCAGTCTGACAACGGCACGACCTTTGTCGGAGCGGCAAAAGCGTTGGATCGTGATTTCCTTGAGGCGACACGAGCTTGCATAACTGCATCCTATCCTCAACAGATCCTCTCCTGGCATTTCATTCCGCCCGGTGCTCCCCATATGGGTGGTTTGTGGGAGGCCGGTGTCAAGAGTTTCAAAGCTCTGTTCTACAAACACACTTCCGGTGTTAAATACACATTCGAGGAGATGTCCACGCTGCTCTGCAAGATTGAGGCGTGCCTTAATTCACGCCCAATCTCTCCGATGTCCGAGAACTCCAGTGACCTGCTGGCTCTTACTCCAGGTCATTTCCTGACCGGTGGCCCCCTTCTCTCCTTGGCAGAGCCAGAAATCCAAGAAGACGCAGTCTCCATTGTCAACCGTTGGCGTCGTCTCAAGGCCTTAAACCAACAGTTTTGTTTTCGTTGGAAAGACGAGTACCTGAAGGAGCTCCATAAGCGCAGCAAGTGGCAACAGCCCGCGCGGAATCTCCAATCAGGTGACATGGTGGTCATAAAGGAAGATAACATTCCTCCCAATGAATGGCGCCTGGGCCGTGTTCAAGACACATTTCCTGGCTCGGATGGCAGAGTCCGTGTAGTCGAAGTTCGGACTGCACGAGGCACCATCAAAAGGCCCATCGTTAAATTAGTCTTCCTTCCGTTCGAGGACAGCTCCACTGTCCAATGACTAACATTCCCAACGTCCGTTTCCATGCATAATTTTTTAATGTTTTTCCTCGCTTTTTCGTGCAGCTCTTTTCCCACAACCATGGCACCTCACAAGAACCGGTCGCACGGGAGCAAGCGTCGCATGGGAGTGGATTCGTTCCGCTGCAGAGTCTGTCGGGGAGTCCATCCCCTCCGCAAGTGTCAGCGGTTCCTGCGGCTTAATGCGGAAAAGCGGCTTAGGGCAGTGCTCATTAATCAGTACTGCCCCAACTGTCTGGCCCACGAGCACTCTGGAGCTGACTGTCGGAGCGGTGACCGGTGTCGGATCTGCGAAAAGGACCACCACACTTTGCTCCACATGCGGGAGCACGCACATCGTGGGACAACACGCGATCGTGCAGGCACCCCTCCCAGGCGGTCCGCCAGAGCGCCGGTCGTGGTCGAGCGCTTGCCGCGCCAACACGGACGAGGCCGTGCAGGCACGCCTCCAAGGCGGTCCGCCAAAGCGCCGTCCTCGTTGCCTGTCCCACAGGCTCCTACGCTCTCCTCACTCCTCCAACACGGGAAAACTCTGGTCATGCCCACGGCTGTCGTCCAAGTCGGTTCAGGGCGGAAATGGTTTGACGTCCGCGTCCTCCTGGATCCCTGCAGCCCTGTAAGCCGCATCAGCGAATCCTTCGCCAAAGGCCTGAAGCTGGCCAGTGTCCCGATCGGTGCCGAAAAAGCCTGCTCAGCCTTGGTGCGCTCCAAGCACAGCCCTTCCACCGAACTGGAGGTGATCCTGAAGGTGGAGGCCAAGGTCCAGCACCGGACCCCCTCGGCTGCAGTGGGCGAGTCGGTTCGGCGCCACTTCGCGCATCTGTCACTGGCGGACCCCAATTTTGACCGGCCTTCCACGGTCTTCCTGGTCTTCGGCGCTGATGTGTACCCAAAAATCATACAGCAAGGGCTGTTGCCGGGTCAAGCCGAAATCCCCGTCGCTCAGAACACCCTCTTCGGCTGGATCTTGTCCGGCTTCTGCAGCGGCTAAGCGCTTCCCAAGCCGTCCCCACGTTGTTTTGCAATGTATTGCAAGGGGGGCGGAATGTTCGCGTAAGAGGAGTGCGTACTGTCCGTCGGTCGTCGGCTGCCGACTTTGAATTCACCACACCGGCGACCGCCTAGCAGAGGCTTAGAATAAGTTTAGATTAGGCTTAGTTTTTAGTATTCGCATTGTATCGCAAGTGTGAAGTCAGCGCATGCGCGCCCCCAAATCGATTTAAGTTAATCTGTGAAGTTTTAATTGAAACAATAAACGACACCATCACCACATCAACTCGTCCTCTGCATTTGGTACTACACAGCGTCCACCCCACTACATTTTCAATATCGAACCCCATAGAGCTCAACTCTCTTTTATTAAGTTATTGAAGTTTTTATTTGAATAACTAAATAATAACTTTGTACTGATTAAAGCCATGATTTTTGTCAATAAATTTAGTTTTAGAAACAAGTAAGAAAATTGCTCAAAAATAAGTATAAGAAGCTGCGTAATTATTAGGTATACAAATTCATTTTATAACGAACAATCTGTTGTCTTGGATCGTAATTTCGAACTAAACTACTTTAAGCAAATTAGTCGTATTAAAATAACAAAATTAGTAATAAAGTATAGTCCCAAATGATTGAAAAGATATAAGATGTCTTCACAGCAAGCTAAATTTATACATAGAAATATAATAAGACTAATTATTTGCACTAATCGAATTAACATAATAACAAATAAGCTGAACATAGTTGTGGGTTCTCTAGCTGTAATCGTACAGAAGTTTTCAAATTTCTTATGGATGGAGGAATGGGTCATATATGTTACTATAACATGGGTCTGCCACATATCCGTCTAATTGTTAAAAACAATTTAAAGTATTCAATGTACCCTATCATTCTTCATTTAAGAAATGCGTTAACTATTGGCGGCGACTTAACGTTGTCCGCATTGGTCGATTTCTTGTGATTTCTTGGAAATGGGCCAATTGAAAACATGATGGCCAACTTCTTGCTTTTTGGTCTAGTATTCTTTTTTTTATTGCCTTCCTCTCTGTCCCCTTTGTATTCTTCTGTATTTTTCTGTATTCTTCGTGTACAAACGTTGGGCCATTTAATTTAAGCGGCTGCCATACATTTTACCAGCGCATATATTTCATTGCCTACCTTCTGGGGCTTGGCAAATTATTCACAATTTGTCATTTGTCTTTGATTTATTTGCATTTTAAAGGCTTTCAACGGCGACATCGCCACTGCTGGCATCGTTCTTGGCCGCAAGACGTTCTTGCTAGACTTGGTGGTTGGCTCGATGGCGGAGTGCGATGGGGGGGGAGTAATAAATTTGCAGCTTGTCTACCTTTCGGCTTTTGAAATGCGTGTGTGTGTGTGTGTTTGAGAGAGAGAGTGTACAGCAAATACTTAAACACAATTTGTAATACTTACAAACGACATTCAATTTCCACATGGTCTCCAAATACAGGCCGTTCACATTCGGATTTTCTGCACGGCACGTTATCGATTTGCCATCGTCGTCTGTGGTGGGCACAAAGCTCAGTTCGGAGCGTGTGGAGTTCTTCGATATGTCGTCCTATAATGGCCAGACAAGGAAAAACAAAGAGAGAAACCGTAATGAAAATATGCATGTAGTTGTAAGTTGAACATTTTTTGCTGCATTAATTAAGTTTTGAGATTTCTTGAGTCACTGCTTGTTCAAGTATTCTTTCAATGTGTGTGTGGGTCTGCACTTTTATTTATGCCGTGTGTAAATTTGTCGAAATATTTTATGTTGCAATTTAAAATTTATTGGCATGTGTTTGGGTTTTATGTGGCTTGTGTGGGTATTATAAATTTTATAGGACGGCAACAAAGCAGCACATAATTAGTTGTGTTTGTGTTGCAGTCCATGTGTGTATTTAAGTTTGTGTGTTGTGCTGTGCTGTGTAGTTTAAGGGCCATAAAAATGTTTTTTAACAACATTTTTAGCGCCCAACAGCGTTGTGGTTGCAGTGTCGGCACTTTTTTGCGCTTCTGCCCACCCACCAAGGCGCCAAAGTTGTTAAAAGTCTACAGAAAGGTGTGAAATATGCAGATATGTACAAGTTTATTTATCCCATAAAGTTTAGCAAGGGAGAGTGATGTATAGAGTGCGTGTGTGTGTGTGTTAGTTTAGTGTTAAAAGTGTGCAGGGAGCAGCGATAGTTTTTAAAGGAAGCACTTTAGGTTGATCTAGTCGGCATAAAAACGTAGCTGAGACAGCAACAATTTGTTGGTGCTCAAAGAATTTAAATTCAAAATACGAATACTAACAGCTGAGTCCAACTTTCGAAACAAAATCAATAAAGAAAATTTAAAAATAACGGCGGAAAATAGACGAAAATAAATTAAAGTGCTCATTTTATTTATTCTTTTTTTATGTTTGTTTTTCAGAAATTTTGACTGGGTGAACTGATTTTGATCTTTCTTTTGTCATTTGAAAGCAACATAATTATGAAACTACTGACATATTTTGTTAATATTAGTATTTTACAATTTTCATTCAAATTCCTCTACACATGACCATTCAAACTTTTCCTTTTCTCTTATGTTAAATTTTCTCAATATTTTGTTAAGTATTTGAGGGACTGTTAGTACTATTCCCATGAAATATAGCCTTTACCTTTTAGGTAAAAACTCTCGTAGGCTATATTTTATTAAACTTCTGAAATGCATGTCTAGTTCTTTCTGGCCAACCACCCACACATTAGGCTAAAAGTAGGGTACGAAAATGCATGTAAAACGTGTTCCATGGCTGCCGCATTACGGCAACTTTATGCTACATGGGAACTACTGAAAAACATTTCCGGTCTTTAAAAAATGTTGGCTAGAAACGGCAAAGCAATCAGCAGCATGCATGCACGTACCCGCTCCTACTGTACGAGTACTTGTGTGTGTTTCTGTGTGTTGGGGGGATATGCAAAACGGGCAGGCAGACAGACAGACAGACAGCTCGCCGCACTATACACAAGCATAAACAAAACAAAACAGTGGGCATGGGCCCTTGTCGAGGGTCTCTCGGCCCCTGGTCGGCGTCTGGGTATGCACATGCGTCGGCACAAAAATGAATTGCAACAAAATTGCGCTAAAACTCCCATAAATTTGTCTAAAGTTGAAGCAAGCCAAAAACAACAACAACAACAAAAAGAAGAAACAAAACTGAAAAAATAGGGTTAGAAATAAGGCAAAAGAAGTGACGTGCAGAAATGGAACAGCGACGGCCGGAGTTTATATCACATTATCTGTGTTTATTCTAACACCGATGCGAGGCGGACAGCCAGTGAGTGTGGGCCACGCCCAGAGGAGTTGGCACACTCGTATGTCTGCCCATGGCCAACAGTAGAATCGTGCGGGTGTAGTGTACGGGCACAGACCTGGCTAAGAGTTACGACCTACGTTTGTTTGGCATGACTGTGCAAACACAATAAGTTATCGAGCTGAACGTGAGTCAGTCAACAGGACTACGAATCATCCACTACAGCAGTATGTATGTACATACATATGTAGCTTCAACTCACGCTACACTAGCCACCATATGTATTGACACTATCTGGGACTTGTCGTAAAAAGCGTTAGGGACAAAGGAAAGGAACAAACGTTTAACCCTTTTCTCATGCGGGGAAAATTAAAAGTAAAGACAGCAAAGAAATTATAATGAACATAATACTAATTGCGAACAAATTTATAAATGTTGGAGTGCACAAAAATTCAATCCGTAAATATTGGTCGACTATAAGTGAAAAAAGTATCTAACTTAACTTTATTATGAAAGATAAGTTGAAATAGAAATGCGAGAGATAATGGCATATTTGCAGTTTATGTTAACTATTCTGGGAGATTTCAGCTTATATCTAAGAATATATAAGATATATAAGATATCTGCTGGTGTCACACAAATAAAAAACAAATACGAGTATGGGATGAAATACTTACAATCTTAATGATAAAAAAAAACCATAGAATCATATTCAACGAACTGTTGTGTTAACCAATTTTTGAATTAAATGTAACTTTGCATAACTTTATTTTACTTTTACATTAATTAGCAGGTGAATAGTTTGGAAAAATAAGTTTAAATGCAAATGCTTTATCAGTTTATTCAGTTTCTTTGTTACTTCATTGGCACTTAACTCTTCTTATTACAATAATAATAATATTAAAAATAATAAATAAATAATAAATAAATAATAAAAAAATAATAAATAAATAATAAATAAATAAATAATAAATACTAAATAATAAAAATAACAATCACATAAAATATAACATACATAAAAAATATCCTAATATAAATAATCATCATCAATAAAAATCCCCTCCTCCCTAATCCCTCCTAATCATCATACTAAATAATCCCATACCCCATCCTCATAACAATAAACTACATATAATACACTCCATACATATCCTCCTCCTCCCTCCCTATCCATCTCCATCCTACTCCCTCCTACCCTACCTTATATCATCACTCCCTCAATCCTCCTCAATCTCCTACCACTACTACCTCCCCCTCATCCTACCTCCCTCCCTCCTCCATATACTACTACCCTCCATCCTCACTCACTAATCCCATCCTCAACTCATCAATTTATCGTTAAAGCGCAACATTAATATTGCTCGCCTCTGTATAGATATTACGACTTGGAACTTTGTCTAATGGAATTAACATCAGCAGGTGGTGGGGGTGTGTGTGTAAACATATTGCTTTCGGTGATTAATGTTTTCAATAATTCCACGTGAATTTAGAATTAAGTGAATCAGCTTTGAATGTATTTCGTAAAACATTATTCGCTGACACGTTAATATTGTTTGGTATTTTAATTGACATTTAGTGTTTGGTTAAGCCTTAAGTTGATTTGGCGCAATTGCAGCATAATTAAATTATGAAATTATTCATGGCTTACAAAAAACATATGAATATGACGTGTTTAAATGAGATTTTGGCATCCTTTGGCCTGTTAGAAGCAGAGAGAGGAGAGAGGAGAGAGGAAATCCCGGACAATTATAAACAACAACAAAGTTGTTCTTACACTTCCCTCAAAAAGTATTAGCGTGTATTATTTTTGGTGTAAGCTCCTTTTTCAGTCGATAGCAGCATGCATATTGATTTGTTAATCTACATTTGCCGGCTAGTGTCCTTTTACTATGCTGTCTGCTGATGTGGACCGTCTATGCCTGCAGTGCGTCGTTTGGTTGCTTATGTGCGAGTGTGTGTGCGTGCTTTGTATATATGTGCATGTGTATGAGTGTGTATGTGCGTGTGTGTGTCGGTATGTGTGTTTGCCTATGCCGCAAGTACGTCAATTGCGGTCATGCTGGCAGCTGTGCCTCAGACTTGGCCACAACACACAGAGTGCAGACTTCATCAGAGTACTCATGTGTGTGTGCCTGTATACATACGAGTATAGTATACACAAATGTATGTGTGTTTGAATGTACAAACATGCATACAGTACGACCCACATTTCCACTCACCTTTGTGCGTCGTAATTGCCGTTTTCCCTTGTACCAAGTGATGATGGCATTTGGACGCGAGCCAGCCGATTCGCATGTGACTTCATAGCGCCGATCGGCAACCATTGAATTGGGCTGCTCAGCTATTTTCACCGTCAAAGGTTTCACTGCAACAACAGAAACAAAGCATTTATACTATACATACTATTATGCTTAGTAGTATATAGGAAGTTGAAGTTGGCGTTCAACTTTATGCCACTCGATTAACATGCAAAGTACGAGCCCCACCCCCCCTCCACAACCCAATCAACCCTACCATTTAGACGCACTTTTGTGGGCGTCAACTCGACTCACTCAACACGCTACACTATTTCGCTAATTGCAGACACACGCACGCACATACACTTCTGTGGATGTGTGTGTAAGTGCAGGTAAAATGAAAAAGGCACATAATAATTTACAGCATAAAATTATGCCGCAGGGCTTGCACTGACTTCTCTAGGTGTTGCCCTTTCAAATAAAAAATAAAGAACCCCACAAAGTGGATTTATATTCTGCCAGATGTGGACTTTGAGTGTTATGTTTCATTTTAACATTTAAAATTGTAAGCTTAACTTCTGCTTTATAACTTAATATATGTATTAAATAGAATTTTATCTGAAATTTGAGGTTGGCTTTTTAAAGACTTAGTTATTCCTTATAGCAAAAGATTTTTGCTACATTTTTAGTAGCATCTTTATGATAACTAAATAAAGATCATTACTAGATACTACATTTATTATTTGAAATGAAATTTAACACGATGGTTGATTTTAGTTTTAGTTTTCTGTTTAATATTTCATTCCTTAACTTGGCTGACTTCGCGTTAAAGCTGAACAGTTTTTTCGACTAATAACTAAACAAAAAATGCTGTCATTTCTAATGCGATTTATCGAACATTACACAGCACATCAAAGGACATATGCATGTCCTTCAATTGCAATGAATGTCAATGTAATAAGGCGAATATTTTTAAAACACAGATTATAATTCTAAGGAAACCAATTGAGTTATTGTATTTGTCTGCAAATTATGTGAGTCCGTGATCGTATTTTTTACTTAACTTAACTTAACTTTTTGCGAATACAACAATAATTTTGTTGTTGATTGTTGTTAAATTGTTTTAATTCGAGCTATATTTAAGCAATGTCTATTTAGAGTGATCAGATTACAGAGTATGTAATCTCTTCATAGATAATGAGTGCTACGATCGAATAAATTAGGAAGATTTTAGTAACATGCGTTGATAATAGTATTTGCATTATGCAGGAAAGCTAATTTCTAATTTACAAATCGATAATACTGCAAGCTGAACTCCAGTTGACTTCATTTTAAACTGAATAATATATTCTTGATAAAACACTTTTTTAATTATTTTATTAAAGAGAATTTTTCATTTCATTCTCTTCGATTTTTCCTACAAATTATGAATTATTTTGTGATAAGATTTCGCGCTCTGCAACGTGTTCCACTTTATTCAAAATTTATAACACTGTCGTCTCTAATTTAATTTGGAATTTAATAGGCCTGATAAAATTGGAAAGGTTGCCAGCGCAAGACGTTTTGTTTACATGCTTTGTAAAATATGCACAACAATTAGCAATTTGTGTCTATTACATTTAACTGCCAACTCAAAGAGGAGGCTAACACGGACACGAAAGAAGGCTGAAATGCTGCCGTCGCCATAGCCTCACAGGCCTATCGTGTTTGTAGCCCGTTCATTCTTTGCATATGACGCGAAGCCTATGTAGGAGGAGGAGCGGGGGAGGAGAAGGAGGAGGATGGGCGGGCCAGCCGCCCATCTCTTGACACTCATTCATTTTTGTTAACATGTAATTATTTAATTAGAGCCTTGGCGGCCTCATAATAGCAGCAGAAGTACTGGAGACCTGACAAACACAACAACATGACAACACTTGCTATAATGATGGCTGTGCACCCGAGATCCAGATCTGGGAAGCCATTCCTCAAGTTCCCCAACACATGCCCCCACTTACGATGCATATCCAGTATGAAGCTTTTCTCCTTGGGCTTATCCAATTGTGTATTCAAGGCCTGACATGTGAATACGGAATTCAAATCGGTGCGCTGCACTGACGGCCACAGCAGACGATTCTCGATAACATCGCCGGAATTGTGCTCGTTTTGATTGTCGACAAGCAGTCCATTTACGAGCCAGCGGACCTGCGGTTGTGGGCGACCTGTAAGCAGACGTTCAAGGAATGAGAATACTCGAGAAAGTCCAAACTAGAACTAAGCGAAAAATGGCGCAAATTAAAAAGTCAAGCTTGAAAAAATACCAGAAACACAAAACTGAGAAACGAAGTAAGGCAAAATAAAATAAACAAAAGCAAAATAAAGCCAAGCGGCACTTTTGGTCTCAGGTTTTTGTGATATTTTCATTTTGGGTTTTTTTTTTTTCGTTCAAAAGCTTTTAAGGAAATTAACAGGAAATTGTCTAGCAGGGCATGCGGATATAGCTCTGTTTATATGTGTGGGTAAAACAGAAAGAGCGAGATGGTGAATATTATGCGTATGTGTGTATACACTCGAAGCAAAGGTGGGTACATTTTGTAGAAAAGTTGGCAAGAAATTTAACAAATTCTTAGTTAAATTTAACTAACATATTTGAAGAAAATAAATTAGCAATTAGGTATTAATTTAAATGAAAGATAAGCGCATGATTTGTCTATTTCGTCTTAAGATTCATTGTCGTTTTTTTTTTTTTTGCTGAACCTTTATAGCATTTTAATTAAATTTTTTTAAATGTAAGGCACTACTTCAATCTCCAATTCAATTAGAATATAGTTTCGAATTCGAATTTTAAATATGACAGCATTTCCGATTTTTAAAAAAATGTTCAGCCAAAATAAAAAACTCCCTTTTGAACGCATGTTTACATAGAAAGTTAATGAATAAAAAATCCGGAAATATAGAATTTTCATACCACACTGTGTGCAGGAATTTAAACAGAATCTCAAGGAAATGATTTCTACGGCAAGTAGCAAAGAAATCTCTGGCGAAAGAGACGCCAAAGGCATTCTTTCTAAGTGATCGTAACGATCTCACCTTTGTATAGTGATTTTATTCATGATTTGAAATCGAAATATAAGTCTTGAATAAAATATGTATTTTTTGTACAACTGAACAATTTCTGATATCGTTAACTTGTCGAATTGTTTATTTTAAAATAAAAATAGCATTCGTAAATAATTATAAATAATAATAGTTTAAAAACCAACTCACAAACATTTAATAGGCATCAAAAAACTTTTATGCAAAATTACTTATATCGTAGAAAAAAGCAAATCATTAAAATAAAGAATAATTTTACATGTTTACAAATGTTATCTAAAAAAATCGATTCATTTTTTGGAAATGGCTTTTTCGAGTGTATGTCTATGTAGGGTTTAGATTGTCTCTACTTACCGCCCACCACTCGACAAGTGATAACAATATCATCGCCCTCCTGTTTGGGGCCCAATTGTGTGCCATTCAGCTGACGACCCCAACGGTCCAGTATGATGGGCTGCTCCGGAAGTACTAAAAAGGCAAGAGTAACAGCAACGGCAACAACATTAGGAACATAGCTCATGTATGGACAGACAGCTTATTAAGTAGTAGACAGCAGAGTAACAGCAACAATATCAGCGATAACAACAACAACACGGCAACAGGTTCAACAAGCGTATTGACATTGACGTTGACACTGACACCGACACCGACACTGACACTCGCAATGATTTCATTTTCAATACTCACTTATTACAGACAAATTGAAACGGAAGCTTTGCGTTTGACTTGTGCGAAAATCCACACGACAACGGTAAATGCCTTGATCATGACGTTTGATATCCTGCAAAATTGTTTTGTAAATTATTGTGTGAAAAGGAAACAGATAATTAGCATAACACACATACACCCACACAAAGGTAGGTGTGATATGTGCGCTGGTGTATATATAATGGAATGACCATATAATTTCAAATTATTGCATGTCACCCAGCCATATTGTTGGGGCTTGGTCTGTAAACTTGCAATGCGATTGTGCCAAAATATAAGATTTGTATCAAAAATTGTAGACTAGGCCCTAGTTGTATTTATGGATACGTTCAGGCAAAATATGTTAAATGTGCACACTGGAAATAGTACAACTTGAAGTCAATTCTTTTAAAGGGGAAAAGAAATGGAAACCAAATAGTTTGCATTTAAATTCCTTTCATTTAAAAAGTCGGCCAAGTTCATAGATTTGAAATGTAGAACTATTGTTTATAGACTTTTTAATTATTTTCAATAATAATAAGGGTTTTACATAATTATTGAAAGAAGTCTGTGTTGCACGTTTCCTAATCGCTAGATTTGAGCCTTTTTAAACAATGGTATCTTCAATTGAATTCTCCACAATAATCACTAACAACAGGGCTTAGAAGTTCTTAAACAAATTAAACTTGTTCTGCAAAATGTTGTATGCTTTCGTTTCTTTGTATATCATACTAATGCAAGAGTTCATTTATTTTGCTCAGAATAAGGTCAACTGAGTCGAAATCTTTTCTTTTTATATGCTTATCAAATAAAATCGAATGATTTAAAAATAACAAACTTAAACAAACGTTTTAGTTTCATTTTAAAAATAAACATGTTTTCAATTGTTTTCAATTGAGATATATACATTTGTTTTCCAGATAAACGAAAACAATACATTATTTGAGCACCATCATATCAATTCTAACATGTTAAGAACAGCTTAAATGATGGATTCTCTTTATTAATTTTCAAATAGTCATAACTTATTTGCTGTACTTGTATTAAATGACAATAAGCTTTAAGCGCTTGCTCTAACTCTTTCACAAATACACTCCAGTAGAGAGATTAAGCGCTGATTAACATTTATATTATTTCCACACACCTGCATTCTACCCTCGAGTAGATTCTAAAGGAATTTAAAATCATAAACATAATTAAGCAGAGCTATGGCTAATATTTAAAAGTGTTGTTTTTATTTAAAAATTTAAAACATAATATCATGTGTTAAACGCATTTTCGTATTAATAAACATTCAGCAATGGCTAAGCTTTAAAAGTGCTGTTTTGAAATATTATAAATATATAAAATATCATGTATTAAGCTCAATAACATTAATAGACATTAAGCAATATTTTAAGAGCATTACTCATTAAATTAAATTTGAAATCGTTAATTCGCGTATGAAAGGCACGAGGCAGTCATTAAAAAGGCGGGTTAATTAAATCCTTACTTAATTGTATAGCAATTGATTTAATTTATGTTGTAATAACTACAATTGCTGTTGTGCCCCATGCCCCCTAATGGTTAGGGGGCACGACATTTTTAGTCTATAATTTATGGGCACATTTTTGCTACCTTGTTTGTCCATATTATGAAATTTATGCATTTGTGCGAATTTATGTGCCTTCGTGTGCATTTCACATTCATTTCACAATAATACATGCAGTTAGTTAGTAAGCCAGCCGAATGGGGCAGGGGCCTATTGAAGAGGGCCCCCCAATGGAGCTAATAGGCATAACAACTGGCTGACAGAGAGAGGTGGGAGCGCGATGAGATTTGTGGCTGACTGGCACTTCGGATCAACTAAGTTGGCCTTTAAAAGTTAGCTTGGGGGTTTCATTTTTATTTACTGCTTCGTCTGTGGTGCTAGGTAAGTTGAAGTATCAAATACAACCGCACAACCACACATAGCACCACACATGAGTGTGTGTGTGTTGCATGACAAAAACGGTAAATCAAGTTATCTGTAAACATGCAAGACATTAATAAACATTTCGCGTGCACAAGGCAATTTAACAACTTTTGATATCTAAATTTGTTTTCGCTTTGCCATAGCTTGTATATTTTTTTTCGCTCCATGTTTGCTATTTCCTTTCAGCTCGTTTTTATTCTGCTCTTGTTTTTTGTTTCTCGTTTTTCCTCATTTTTTGTTGTCCAACCAAATTTGGCGCATTTGCTTTGCGCTGCTAATCCTTCACCCTCTCTGGTCGTCCTGGCACATTTCGTATGCCACATGCAACTACGCAAATATATACAAATAGTGATATGTTTTTTTTTGCACGCTTTTATTTCCATTTGATTTTCATTTAATTCATATAAATATCACACTTTATTCCATATTGCAAATGTATTTTATTAGAGCTGTTGCTCTCCATTTATTATATTTATTATTTCTGCGGCAAAGTCCGTTTAGGGGTTATGTTTTTCCATTTGCTATTTCCTTTTTTTTTGTTCATCTTACCACAAAATGTTAAATATTTGATTGGAAATCCTTTTCCAATTTCTATAATTTTTGCACTAAGCGCGCAGCATTCTTTATTTTCAATGCATTTATTTATTTAGCACGCCATCTCGATTGTTTTTTGTTTAATGTTTGCTGCAATTGAAAGCTTTGCAAATTAAAAGTGGCTCGGAAAAAGTGAGTTCTGCTGGTTATCTGCTCATTTTTATTTATTTTCAAGTTCATTTAAATTTTATAGAATTTTCAAATGCAATACTGATGGGCTGCTGAACAGCGTGGGGCTTATGTGTGGGTTGTTTTTGTTTTATTAAAAGAGTTTTCATTTTGTATTTGTTTGCATTTCTATCTACTAATTGGTTTCAAAAGTAACGTAAAACTGTAGCGTAAATATTGTTAGTTATATAAAGAATTTAGAAAACAAAAGACATTCAAACAAGTTGCTCATGAAGCTACTAGTTAAAGTAATTGGCAAAACTATTTTTAATGAATTGATAATCATTAATTTGTTGATTTTCTTTAAATAATATGGTTAATACCTCAACAATATTACGGTAGGACTATGACTATTGACTATGAACATATTTATTAAAGTAAAATATTCAACCGCTACATAATAGTTAGGTGTTAAGTCTTTAATATTAAATATTCCCCACAAAACTAGTTAATAAAACGCTATAGGTGTTTGATGTTTGAAGAATAATTCTCAATTTTAGGAATTCTCATTAAATTAACTCTAAATAACACTTTCTTAACTAAAAACTAGTTCTTTATAATTTATAAACACAATTTTTTAAGTATGCCCTTCTTTTTAGAGAATTACCAAAATTTATGAAAATATGTTGTTTTCAGTAAAAAAAAAAACATAAAAGCACCGATCTTTAAAATCTGAGCCGAACACAAGTGATTCTCTAAGCATTTGCTTTGTATTTTTAAACCGAAACGTACCGTGCACCTTACTGAACTAATGTAAGGCTCTTAACGTTGTGCTCCTAGTTTAAAAATCAATTTAAACAAAAAATATGTGAAAATAAAGAATAATGATCTGGCACAACCACGAGTTTAAATAACGGCTTAAGTAGTTGCACGCTCATTCACATCAATTACAGACATTGGTAATGCCCGGAGTCCTTCGTAGGTTGCCAGCCTGCTGTGCTGGCCAACTACCAAGCAAAAAGCGTAAATTAATCCTTAATTTAAAATGGGCGCCAGCGCACATACACACCCACTCATGTAGTCTCTTACCCCCCCACCCCCGTACGCCCAATGCTTACCTTAATTTCCAAGGTTGCTGGTTCCGAGTCGAAATGGAACTTGGCACGTGAACCGAAGACCTCCGGGGCTGACCAGTGGCGTGGTTGCTCGGTGGCCATTTTATCGCGAACATCGAAGCTGCAAGCAGAGAAATAAAAAGAAAAGCAATTGTAGCCAGGAAGAAAAACATTATGGTACATTCACACACACACACACACGCACACCTAAGTATGCTAGAACTGTGGGCGGATGCGGGCTTGCAAATTAAATCAGCTTGGAATCTATTTTCGTTGGCGATTGCATAACAAACATAATGCTGAACAAATGTGTTGAAATGGGAACAACAACAACAAAAAATGGGCGTATACATCCACTTACAAATTAATGAACCCCCTGTTATATACGTAATTCCCGAATTCTGGAAAGGGAAAACTTAAGTGGAGGAGGTGCGCTTACTTCTTTAAAGCAAAAGTGAAAACAGAAAAATAAAAAGAATCTGCGCGCGAAAATTTACGTAATTTATTTAGCAGTGTCATTAGGCAAACAAAGCAGCTGTGTGTGGGCGTGGCTAGCGATGTTGTTGTTGTTGTTGGTAGGTGGAATATATATGCAGCAGATAAAAATTTCAGCTGCAGATCTTAAGCAGCTGCCCCATTAGCTGCTGCATTTAATGCCGAAACTTTTCGTGCCAGCCCTAAAGGAGAATTACTGCTTTTTAAACAAATAAATATTATAAATTTATATTTAAAATATTCTGGTTGTAGGAAAAGAAATGAAGTAGTTATTTTCTACACTTTTTACTGAAAGAGTTCGAATCAATAAAGCTAAAAAGCTCTTCTTCCAATTTATTTATTTCTTCCATTAAAGGAAATTTACTGCTTTTTAAACAAATAAATATTATAAATTTATATTTAAGACATTCGGGCTGTAGGAAAATAATTGAAGTACTTATTTTCTACACTTTTTACTGAAAGAGTACGAATCATTATATATTTATTGAACTCACACCTATTCATTATAATTTAAAAAACTCTTTTTTGATAACCTAAATGAAAAGCTACTTTCATTAGATTAAATATTCTGTGAGCGCAGTAAATAAAGCTCAAAAGCTCTTCCTCCAATTTATTTATATCTTCCACCTCAAGCAACTACAAGTGAAGACCCATAATATAATGAATACCTCAAGCTGTAGACAACAAATGATAAAGTCATAATAAAGTGGAAGCGAGCAAAAGAGTTAGCACAAGTCATAATTGCATCAGCATTCTAATGGTCAAGGCTGTTCGACAATAACGTCGTAATGAAGTGGCCACAGACTCGGGCACTTATTCACAATCCATTTACAACGGCATCGACAGCAACACATAAACATTGCCGGCACTCAGCATGCAAATTGCATCTTCATTGTGACATTTTCATGCCATGCTCCGCTTCCTCTTTTATAATTTTTCTTTTTCTTCATCAAATTAAATTTTCTAGCTGCTTGTCCCGTTTCATTACACTTGCATTTTGCATTTGTTGTTGTTGTTTTTGTTGTCGTTGTCGTTGTCGTTGTTGCTGCAACCTGCTGCAGGCCTAAGAACTGTTATTAAGTTTGGTCCGCAGTTGCATTTTTTACTTTCGCACGCCTCACTCGAGTTTCTTTTTTATATATAAGTATATATACATACACACTTATACGAGTACTCGTCGCTATCGTAAACTCTGCCTTAATTGAAAAGAAAGGAGCCAGCATAAAAATATAAAATAAAAAAAACTGGGTCGCTTGACTGCACTTTGGCCGCATGTATGTATGGCTGCAACAACCGTGGCATGCAGCAATTAAGTTGTTGCATTTGCGCCCAAGTGTTGTCGGCGGCAATGGCGGCACTCGCCACTCGACCGCCCGCATAAATTATTGTGTATTGCAAGAGGAACAGCAGCAACCGTTGCATACAAAAGGGCGCTTAACGCACAGCAACAAAAACAACAAAGGAAATGACGATTTCAATGTTGGCGGCCTGTTCAAGTTTCAATGTTGGCCAATTGTTTTTTCCCCCTCCAGCATAATAAATTTTACAGACTTGCCAATACAAATACAAAACCGGTTCGTTCGTTAGTAAGAAACTGAACGCATTGTGGCATAAAGTTTGTAATTTATGGATAGGTAGACATGGAATTAAGCTTACAATTATTTTTCGTAAAGCCAATAATTTCTTTTAGTAGACTGCCTTCTATTCCGGTTACAATAAAGCTCTTGCTACTCCATAGCAAGCATTAATGTTTGTTATTCCGTGTGCTCTAATTATGCGTCCCTTTTGAAATAGTTTATTCTACTTATTTGTAAGCTTTTATTCATAAATGATTAACTTGAATGTTTCAGTTTTTTTGTTTCAAAATTAAATTACATTTTTCCAGCTTCCGCTTATCTTTTAAATTTAATCCACTTCACTTAAGTTCTTAAACAAGTTTAACTTCATTTTTCATTATTTTTGTTGTATGCAGCTTTCTTGCGGCTGGGCTGCTCAGCTTAATTACTAAATTAGGTAAACATAATTAGCTTAATGCCGTGCGACAGCAACAACAACAATCACAATGCCTGCAGCTGACGGAAACGCAAAATAAAATCACACATCAAGCACTTATCACTGGCAGACAGACAGCGGAAACTTTGCCCTCCAGTCTGTAAGAGGAAACAAAAACTGTAGCATACTTTTGTGAGGTCTGCTAAATTCCAACGATTTAAAGGCAACGAGCGCTCGTTTGCATTTAATTAAATGTATAAACACGCATCCTTACACACACACACACACACAGGCACATATCCACAAAAGCTCACAGTGGCGGACAATGCGCCAAATGAGCCTATCCACCACACACATATAGATAAGATAAATATAGAGATGGCAAAATAATGAAATCAACAAACAGTATAGTCGAAATGAAAACAAAACAATTTAATAACATACCGAAAATTGTATCAAATAAATTATTTTTGGTAAATATAATAAAATTAAACACCTAAAAAAGACATGCAACATCTAATTTATTTAAAAAGAAGCATAGCTTACAAATAGCAGTCATTCAACACGTTTTCATTAAAATTCAACAAATGGTATCTTTTCCCATTTTATTACTTTAACAATTCAACAAATTACTCAAACTTTTGTGGAATTGTTACAGCCGCAATAAACACATAATTTATTTAAAATTAAGAATTGCTTACAAATAGCAGTCATTCATAAAGCTTTCATTAAAATTCAACAAAATTCGTAATATTTTTCCCATTTAAAATTTTACAAAAGTATAATGAAATTTCGAGGAAAAATGAATGAAAATGAGTAAAAAAAATATATTTGTATTTTTTTTTTGATTTGAATAATTCGTGAGTAAGCATTCCTACCATCTCTAAGCCCACACTCGCCTATCTCTTTGTCCATTGTACTCACCTGTATAAAGGTATGCCCGCATTATCACGAAACCATAAGACCATAACAACATCATCCAATGGCGCTGCTATGGGACAGGGCAGCGACACTGATTTACCCTCGACGGCATCAATGTCCTTCGTTCTAACTGTATGTGTGAATACGTGTATATGTATATAGAATTGTTTGCGATGGTATGTGGGTTGTGTAGGTGGCCAAATCGGGGCACATAAGTCAGTCGCCGCATGCCACGCACGTCGTTTGTTCATTTGTTTGCATTAGTAGACGAAAAGGAGGGGAACAAGGCGGTGTGGTCGCCATTTTGTTTTGGATAGCGTATGCCCCATCCGGCCGTTGGTTAAGCCAAATTATGTTGTCGTCGTTGCGCATTATGGTCAACATCAGCAACAGCAGCAGCAGCGGCAGTGGCAGCGGCAGCGACATAGGCAGCGACAGCATCAGAGTCCAGAATTTCCATCGACATTGGCATATGCGTAGATTTTATGCGTTTATGTTGGTCGGTTGGTTGGTCATGGAAATAGAAAATAAATGCGTAAAATTTGTTAATTAAATGTCGGTTGGCTGGTTGGTCTCCTGGTCGGCCGGCCTTTCTGTTAGCCTGGCTTTTAGCAATTAAACGTTGATGGCAGCTTAATTTCTACGTAATTACAAACGCGTAAATTTTTATGTGCTGCTTATTTATTTATGCGTAAATGTGTGTACCAATGCTTTTGAGCGCACACGCTTAGCAATTGGTAAAAACAAAAAAATATATATATACCATGCAAGCATCCACCACACTTGGCTTTTACCGATTTTATAATGCAATTACATAAAACGCAGCAGAATTATTTTCATATTTATGTGTTTTGAATATTGTATATGTTATATTCTTAATTGGCATTGATTCTATGGAATTGTTCAAAGAGCGAGTACCTAATATTTTTGTAATAAATATACCGACTATTTTGAATGTTATGTAATTAATAGTATTAGGTTGCTTGTTATAGTTGAACAGTAAATGAGTGTTATGGGCCATTTAAAGTGCACAGGTAGTTAGAATAACTGTCGTTACAGGCTGAGACTATACATATTCTTGAAGTTGTCTCTATCTCACTCTTTTCTCCAATAACGACCAATAAAAGAAATCTTGTATGCCTGTCAAGCATATAAGCAGCTAACCTGATGGATTTTGGAGTCATAATTGTAGCTAAATATGAAATGTAGAATAATATAATGGCTTGTAAGAAGATAATGCTATATTGATCGCAGAATCAAATAAAAGAAGTTATTGTTAAAGAACTCTCAATCCTCTTTTTTAAATAATTCAATAATTCAACGTAAGATAAGACTGATGCAAGTATAATATTCAATACCTCGTCGTATAATGAATAATTTGTCAACATAAGATAAACATTGTTTAATTGGAACTAAAATAAATCTATAAGAGTCTAAGTTTGAAAGTTATAATGAAAAGCAAGAACATAACAAAACATATTTATTATCTGGCCTATAATTGCTTTACTTAGAAAAATGTCAAGAAAATAAATAATTTTTTGTAAATAAAATAAAAAAATAAAATAAAAAAAATAACAAAACTCATTTAAATTTGAATATTTTCTGTATTTGAGAAACTTCTGATAAAAATGTTTCCAATTAACTAAAATGTGTTTTTTCATTCCGCAGCTTTTTCAAATAAATCATGAATATTTTGAAAGAAAAATAAACTTCTAATGCATTTGATGCAATGCCCACAATCCCATTGGAGCAGAAACAGCATCAGTTGTTGCCTAAAATTGTAGTTGTGGTCGCTGTTGCTTCTATGTTCGTTGTTCTTGCTTTATTGCGCATAAAAAACGAATGTTTTCTACAATACATACATAGTAAATGTTGCAAATATTTCAAGCGCGTCATGTCAAAGCAGAGGCAATAAAAAAATGGTACGTGTGCCCTACACACTTATGCCTAGCCCAGCTTCTGACGCTATCGCGGCCGCAGTCTCCTCCCACCATATCAAGTGTTGGCCAAAAGCTTCACGCCGTTGACTTTCGTGGCCTTGTGTGTGAAGCGCGCGCTTCATGTGTAAATATGAAAAAATGCCATTTTATTGCCACAATGCGTTGAAATTTTGTCGCAAATTTATTGCGCATACGCAGCATTGTACAATAAATATGCGCTTAAATTGCGACGCGTCGTGTCACTCATGTTCATGTGTGTGTGTGTGTGTGTGTGTGCGAGCCTGTTTGTGTTGGTGAGTGCAGGGAAAGAATATTTTATTCGTTTGTTTATTTGTCGGTCTGTTTGCCAGCTCCTGAACTCGCTTTATTTGCTTAGCACTGTCGCCATTGTGGACAGACTGCGGCTCAATGGAATATGAACAGCAGTGCCTGCTAAAAAGTGCAAATCGTCTGTCCATATATAAGTAGAGGCTATCTCGACTACAACAACAGATTGGGATGGCTGCGAGACTGTGGCTGCAGTTGATGGCTCACCAGCACCGGACCCAGAGAAAGTAAAAATCTGTTTGTGCTTGGATTGTTTTTTTCGGTTATGTGCGCTTTAAATTCGAATTTAGTCGCTTGATAGGCAGTAAAGACATTAGTGTGGCGATGGCTGTTGGAATGTCTGTTTGATTGCTTGTCTACCTGTCCGCTTTATGTCTCGTTAGATGTCGGTTTTCACCATTTTTTATATGCTGCATTCTTTTAGATATTTCTGGCAGCATACGAGTTCTTTTCTAAATAAGGGAAAAACTTATTGTTCGAACTTTAATGAGCAACAACGAATGTTAATTTTTAAATGTGCCTAACATCAAGTAATTCAAATTCATAGGACCTTTACTAAAAGCATAAACTGTCCAAATTGTAAGATTATAAAAAAGTTTCCAATAATATATCGAATATATAATATATTTTTGATATTATCAAAACAGAAACACGCCCAAAAGTTGGATTAAATATTTGTGTGAAAAATCAAATACGAGTCTAACTGAATAACAAATAAACTAAACTCCTCCAGTCTAAGTTTCTACAATGACGGCGATATATATTTTTTCAACAGCAGTCTAACAAATCACTGTGCACATTAAAAGTTCCATTTTATTTTTATTTTACTCATCCGTCTCTCTGTGGTGAGACTTGCCTTCCATTCTATTCGTATTCACGCTTCAACTTAAATGCATTGCCAGTCGGCTGACATTTGTAGAGTTCTTTCCTAAAGGCATTTGCAAATGCATATCGTTGACTGCATTACTGAACGGCTTTAACCTCTTCAGCACTTCGGAAAATGTGCTGGCATCCCACCCTTTCCCTCCCTTTCGCCATCTCCCTTCCTCCATCAATTTTACGACAGCTTGCTTTTATTTGGCTACACATTTCTGGCCTTCACTTAACCATAGTGTACACAAACGCACTCACACTTCAGCCTCGTCTCAACTCCTCGACTCTCATGTCGTTTCTTGTTAAAAGCTATTTAAATATGCTCTCTTTGAATGCCTTGATTGGCTTACTTGGCTTGGCTTGGCTCGCCTTGGTTTGACTTTGACTTGTTGGGCTGCTGTTGCCAAAAAAAAATCTAAAATAAATAAAAGAAATGCAAAGAGGAAGGGTAGCGCGGGTATGGATGGGGTTTATTAGCTCTGAGCTATGTTTTGGAATGCATTAAAGCCTTCTTCTGTGTATGAGTTGTCTGCTTTCAGACTAACTAGAATCAGCCAGCTCACATGCTAATCAAATGAAGTATTTAGCCAGCAAAGGTGCGTTTCTTCGAAATACGTAACGTCTAAATCAAAACGGGAATATTTTGTTAACCTTTTTGTTGTTTAAAATAAAATAACAATAGCTTGAAACTACAAATAAATATTTAGCAAACATACCCATTTAATAAAGATATTATTTCAGAATTAAAATCCAGATTAACTTTTCGGGGCCCATTTTAATTTGACATATAATATGTGTAATTCTTTTTCTGTCTAATCGTAATATAATTACGATATATTTACACTTTTTGAAAGCATAAAGAATGTTACTTATATAAATTAATTTATTAACCAAATAGACATGCCTTAAGATTCAATTCCAGAAACAGACACCTAGACTATAGTTTTGTAGCCTAGTGTATTTTAACACTCGATGTGTGCCTTGCACCCATTTGTCACGCATTACTCCCCCGCCCATCAACTCATCAGACCCATAGCCTTTGCATCGCATAGTTGACTGCAATTTCGTATGCAAAACTTTAATGGAATTTGTGTTCGTTGCTAGAGTTTTTACAAGTTGACAGCGCAACTTTTACATTTTCTAATGCATTGCACCCACACATACGCATTAGTGCTTTATACGAGTATTTTCTGTTGCATATTTCTGGGGGCATTTTAATTGATATTTAACTATGTTTGGCTTCGTTCGTTGTAATTGCCGTTGCGCCTGTGCGACTTCTAATTACGATTACCATTAACTACGTTGTTACCCACACATGCATACTTGTCAAGTGTGTTTCACAACAGAACGCTGGGTTAACAAATGACGAACTGGAACACTGCCAGGCGTAAGTATTTATACTATTTTTATAGGCATGACCAAAAAATAGCACAAATAGTAGACCCAAATGAATATTCCTGTAAAATTCTAATTATATATCACATTTTGATAAATAAATTAATAGGTGAAATAACCAATAAGATAAAGATTTGATCTTAGTTCTATTGTTATTGAGTTTTCATTTAGAATGTTCTAATTGCACAATTTGTATGACTAATGAAAAATATTAAATCCATAAAAAATGAAACCTGCTGTTTATCCCAATTACATTTCAATAATTATGTATATATTTTTAATTTATTATTTAGGTATTCTCGTTGTTTTTTGTTATTTTCATTTACCGCCTTTTTTCTTTCTAATTTTTATGCTTCTCTAAACGACTTATTCAAACATTATAATTTGTACACATTTTATTGTTATTTATTGATTAACTTATTCAAATAAATATATTTTATAGCTCAAAACATGTTATTAATTTAATTTGCATAAATAATTTTTAATTAATAATTTTGTCGAACTGCAAAGCAAACGCTTTTTACACCACTAATAATATGTTGCTCTTCAAGTCTTTAAGTGCAAATACTGATGGCATATAGTGTTTGCGCTGTCC